TTCCCATAAGACTGTCAGCTTTCTGAAAAGAAACTTTGCAGGCCAGAAGGGATTGCACAAAATATTCAAAGTGATGAAAAACAAGGACCTACAACCAAGATTACTCTACCTAGTAAAGCTATCATTTAGAATCAAAGGACAGATAAAGAGCTTCCCAGACAAGAAAAAGCTAAAGGAATTCATTGCCGCCAAACCAGTATTACAAGAAATGTTAGCAGAACTTCTTTAAGAAGAAGAAAAAATCAAAAATATGAATCAGAAAATATCGCAAAGAAAAAAATTCTCACTGACAAAGGCGAATACATAATAAAAGCAGTGGCTTTATTAGCTAATATTAAAGCCAGTACAAAGGTTAAAAGGCAAAAGTAGGAAGATCATGTGTAATTACAACAGTAAATTAAGGCATACACACAAAAGAAGTAAAAAAATAATGACAAAAACATAAATGTGGAGAGGGTGAGTAAAAATGGTAGTGATTTTAGAATGTGTTCGAACTTAAGCAACCATCAAATTAAAACAGACTGCTATAAATAAGGCTTGGTATATATGAAGCACGTTGTAACCACAAACAAAAAAATCTACAAGAGATATACAAGAAATAAAGAGAAAGGAATCTGAAAATAACAATACAGAAAGTCACCAACATACAAGAGAAGAGAGCAAGAGAATATGAAAAAAACAGAAAATTACAAAACAATCAGCAGTTATTACAATGGAAATAACTATATACCTATCAATAATTACTTTAAATGTAAATGGATTAAATGTTCCAATCAAAAACAAATGGATAAAGAAGATGTGATGTATATATACAATGGAATAATACTCGACCATAAAAAAGAATGAAATCTTACCATTTACGACAACATGGATATACCTAGAAGGTATTATGCTAAGTCAGACAAAGAAAGACAAATACCATATGATTTCACTTACATGTGGAATCTGAAAAATAAACAAACAAAACAGAAACAGTCTCATGGATACAAAGAACAAACTAATGGTTGCCAGAAGGGAGAGGGTTGGGAGTTGCAGGAAAAAGGGGAAAGGATTAAGAAGTACAAACTGACAGTTAAAAATAGTCACAGCGATGTAAAGTACAGGTTAGGGAATATAATCTATAATATTGTAATAACTATGTGTGGTGACAGGTGGGTACTAGACTTAACGGGATCATTTTGTTAGTTATATAAATGTCTAACCACTATGCTGTGCACCTGAAACTAATATAATATTGAATATCAACTGTAACCAAAAATTTTTAAAAGATTAAAAAAAAAAGAAAGTTAAGCCACTGCTTATGCCTATTCCTAAGAGGGAGAACAACAACGAAAAAAAGAGTATGACCAGCATAGGAGATGATGTAGATTAGGCACTGGTTGTGAGGGTCTTAAGTGCAGTCCTAAAGAGTTTAGTTTTTAAGCCAATACAGATTGGGCTTCTCTGGGCTAAGTCACAGGTACAAAGATGGATGTGATATTGGCCCTGCCCTGAAAGGTTCACTTTAGTGTATGTGATGTTGAGGGGTAACCTTTAGGGGGCTCTAAAACCGCCTCTTAAACTTCTCATCTTGAGACTAGAGCTGTCTCCAGAGGAGGCAGGGAGGTGTGAGAAGAAGGACAAAAGAGGCCCTGATTCTGCAACCCAGCTCAGTCCTCCTTCCCAAGCTCTACTTTGTGCTAGACTTCTTAGGGGTTAGACTGGAGAGGGAGCCCTCCAGGTTACCTGAGCATCATAGTGCAATTCCCCTAAATAGCTCCAAGACCTGAAAAGGTGACAGTTTGTACAGAACTCCTTCTAACAGCTTTGCTGGGCCTCTCTAGCACCTGCAGTCACGTCGCCTGAATTCTGGAGTGTCTAGGGAACAAAAGCCCCAGGTGGATCTGGTGACTTTCCTGCCTGCCTCTAGGTTTCCCTCTGCCTACATTACCCTCCACCCATAGTCCTCTGCTCTGGGGCCTCCCAGCCCAAAGTCCTCTGCCTACCTCAAGGCACAAGTACCTCCCTCCTTCATCCTCTACGAACTTCCCCCTGCCCTCTGCTCTCATTGCCCTCAGGCTATCTCCCTATCCCCAGGGCTCCATCTTCTAACCTGCTCCACATTCTCCTCTGGGAGCTCTCTATTTGGCTCTCCATCTGAGTCTCGCCAGACCTGTTTTTCAGTACCCTCTTCCATGAGAATTCCCTCTACTGAAACTATTTTGCTTTTGCCTCCCCGCATGTACACCTATGTCTTCATCCTCGGGGAACGTCCTGTCTCCCTCTTTGCACAGGGTAATGTTGCTCTCCCTTCCTCTTGCTAACAACTCTTTTCCCTCCTCCTAGTGCACAGGATGGGTCTCTGTGCTTCGAGTGCCACTGAGGACAGCAGGCAGTGACAGACTATGAGGGAAGCACCCTGAGGGAAAAGCCAGTCCTGATTCTCCATCTTATTCCTGAAAAAGAGTTTGTTGGATGCTTTTCAACTAAAAGCAGATGATTAATTCAGCCTCGACCTTGTTCTGTCTTTGAACAACAGATAAATTAGTTTACTTGAAAAGAAATCTTTGCATTTGTGTTTCCATGTCACCTGTGGTTTTCCCTGCCTTACACCCACAGCCCTGCCAGCTGGCAGGAAGAAGGTCAGCAAGGCTGCCGATAAGAGGAATATAAAGAGGGCTTGTTTCATGGAAAGGGGCAGTGGTCTACTCCGCAGGCAACATGCTACGCTTCCTGGTCTTTGCGGCCCTGGTCCTTTATGGTAAGTGGGTCATGTGGCCTGAGTTCTAGGGAGGGGGATTTGAGCAGGAGGGCCAAAAAGCTATCCCTAAGCCTAGGCCTGCTCTTCACCCCCGGGTGGGTGGGGCGCTGCCTGTGAGTCTAACAAAAACTTCACTCTCCTGGGGCCCATGAAGAAAAGGTCAGGGTCACTCTCCATGTAAGCCCCTCATGAAGAAGAGAGAGAAGCCTCTTCCAGGGGCCTGGGATTCCCTACCACCCCCACTGGCAAGAAGACATCCTTAGCTGGGCACCCGCTGAGGATGTGCACTGCTGTCCCTGCCCCCTAGAGAATCCTGCCAAGCGGTGTTGTGTTTCGGGGCGGGCGTTAGGGAAAAGGGGTGTCCTCTCAGGCCAAGGGATGAGTCTGAGAAAGGCTGAGACCACAAGGTGCCTCTGGGACCGTAGCCTGGGGATTTGAGACAGGTCCTTCACAGCAGGTGAGTTCTGGAGACACCCAAGGAAAACTGAAGGCGCTCAGACGCCCCTATTTTCAAAAGGAGCTCAGGGAACTCACAGCTGGGCCCCTGGTTTGGTAGGGAGGAACTGTGAATGTGCAGACCAAGCACAACTGCTACCCCCACCCCCACCCTGGGCTGACCCCTGCTTAGTCATCACTCACTTTTCTTCTACCCCACAAAGGACACAGCACCCAGGACTTTCCAGAAACCAACCCCAGGGTGGTTGGAGGGACTGAGGCCCAGAGGAACTCCTGGCCCTCTCAGGTGGGTGTTTCTGCACAGCCCCAGGCTTCCAAGACAATCAGAGTTGCCTGGGCGCTGGTATACATTACTATATGTGTCTGTGTATATCCTTATCAGCAGAAAGCTCTCCAACTGCCTGGATTCTAGATTTTAAAGACAAATGGGACCGGGCTTAGGTGGCTTCTTTTAATGCAAAAGATTGGAGGAGGGAACTGAAACGTCAACCACACTCACTCTCCCAGGTGCACATCCAAACACAAACCACATATACACTCCCAGCAACACCGCTTGTGCCATACTAATAGGGCCCACACCTCAGACGCCATGCACCTTCACACACACACACACACACACACACACACACACACACACACACACACACCTCCATACAGTGTGTGTCATGCATTCAAGCGCGCTCCCACCCCCAAGCAGGGCAAGTTGCTTATTTGGCTATTTAAAGAGTTTCCACTTTCGTAACAAGACAGCTAGGCTCTGAATTAAGCAATTCTAAATGTGTAAAACTAGCGAGTTAACTGGTGAATAGCCACGCTTTGAAAGGAATCCTTGCAATTAAAATTCAATTCAATTTACAAAAGTTAGAGCCTCAGTTTTCAGGAGTGGAGCTATTGTGTAATATGAGGTGCTAAAGGTGAAGAGATGAACTGTTAACAAGCAGCATTCCAGTGGTGTTTCTAAAATATTCGCTGAAGGGGATGAACATGATATATCTTGAAAACAATGAAGAGAAAGCTCTGAGACCTAAGCTTTGTGGGCAGCATTTCCTTCCCAAGAGGAAATGACGGTAGAAGGTCCTGGGTTCTTGGCCCTTTGCGGCCATCTAGAGTACGGGTGCAAAATACACTCTGTGTGTGCTGTTACCTGCCCCAACCCTGCATCCATGTACCCAGAAAACATCACCAAACAATGGGGCATATTTCCCACTGATCCCAGAGGCATCTCCGCTCCCCTTCTCATCACCACTGCAGGTGCCACTACCAACCAATCAACAGCTATTGGCAGGTCAAACGAAACCTATGTGCCTTCTCTAGCCCAGAAAGTTGGAGAATGTTCTGAGAGATGGCAGGAATTTAAGGGGGTAACATGTAGTTTGGGGCAAAGCCTTTTAAGAAGCACCACCTATCTCTCCTTTCTTCTCTCCCCATCTAGATTTCCCTCCAGTACCTGTCTGGAGGTAGCTGGTATCACACCTGTGGAGGGACCCTCGTCAGACAGAACTGGGTGATGACAGCTGCTCACTGCGTGGACAGGTGAGAAAAACAAAGACCAGCTTTTCTGAGCCCCTGGAAGAGTCTGGCCCATCTGGAGGAGTATGTATCTCTGACCACTCAGGACAAGATTCTTTTAAGTGGGTGTTTGGGAGCCTGTGGGGAGGCAGTAGAATATAATGAAGAGTACAAATTTTGGCATCAGGCAAGCTCAGGTTCAAATCCTGTTCTAACTTCTTCTAGCTATGTGACCTTAGATGACTTAGTTAGCTTCTCTAAGTCTTCATTCTCTTATCTCTAAAGTGGGGCACAGTACCTACTTCGTAGAGTTATTGTGAGGGATAAGTAGGTACATATTTAAGTGCCCAGTCAATTCCTGACTGGTAACAATTTTTCCATATTTGTCTTGAGCAATGATTCTCATTTGAGCATGTAACAGAATCACTTGGAAGGCACAGATTGCTGGGCCCCACCCAGCAGTTTCTGATTTGGTAGGTCCAGGTTGAAGCCTGATAATCTGCATTTCTAGCAAGTTTCCAGGTTATGCTGATGCTTCTGGTCCATGGACCATGCTTTAAGAACCGCTTGTCTAGAAATTTATACTTCCCTCAAAATCTCTCTGTGGACTGAGAGCCATTCATTATTTCCTTTACGCTTACCACACCTCTCCCAGGTTATGAGATATTCAGCCTATAATGTTTTTAGCTTAATAAACTGGGGAAATGAAGTTAATGGTAGTTTTGTCACTCCCACAAGTTAGTGAATTAGGAAATCAGACAGCTTGTTATTTCATCGTCCAGGGTCTTTCCTCCTTCCTCTGCCTTGATCAGATAAGATGGGCTCCTGTCCTAAAGACACAAGATGGCTTCCCAACTTTTCTCTAAAAGAAGATGTGAGCCCCTTGAATCACTCAGGGCTTCTTTCTCTCATACCAGCCAGATGACCTTCCGTGTGGTGGTTGGAGACCACAACCTGAGCCAGAACGACGGCACTGAGCAGTACGTGAACGTGCAGAGGATCGTGGTGCATCCATACTGGAACAGCAACAACGTGGCTGCCGGGTAAGGGCGAGGCTGGGCTGGCCTTGGGCTGGGCAGCGGAGGGCTAACTAGCTAGCGGTAGGGTCTTGGCTTCCTTCACATTCATCCAGTAGGGCTTTGAGAATTTAGATTTTGGAGAGCTTGAGAGTTTTTTAAAGGTTTTTGGTATTTATTTGATGTAGGCTGGTTTGTATAATTGGATCACCTAAAGCTCCTTCCCTGCAGAGTTTAATGTTTCTGTTTTTATTGTTATGTATTATTTATTTTATGGAATAGGCTCCATCAGCAAAAGAAAGGTTCTTAAAATGACTCTTACATGAGAAAATTCCCGCAAGACTGAGCTGTACAGTTTTGCAAAAGAAGTAGTTAAAATGGTGGTCAATTCTATAGAATATGGGGGTTCGCGTTATTGGGATATTTCTACAGAGCTTTCAGAACTGCACAGAATTTTATATCTGTTTTTCTTGGGAACTCTGCTGTGTGACCATCATCACATCACTCTGCTCCTTCCTGATTCTCCACTCATAACTGAGAGATGTAAGCTCCATCCCCCCGGGTTGCAGGGCTCAGAGCTAGACTACAACCCCAAGGCCTCACCAGCAGGTGCTGCTGTTAAATACATTTGTCCTAACAATCCAAATGGATGGTGCCTCAAATGTGAGACTGAGCAAGTCAGCCCCTTCCTTCTTCAAAATCATTTACTCCCAATTTTCTGGGGACACTAAGGCTCAGTGAGGGCCTGCGCACATACTGACCTGAAAAAAGGCCTGATCCAGTGAGTGAGCAGTCCCCTGTCCTCCCGCAGCTACGACATCGCCCTGCTGCGCCTGGCCCAGACAGTTACCCTCAACCGCTACGTCCAGTTGGGTGTTCTGCCACAGGAGGGAACCATCCTGCCTAACAACACTCCCTGCTACATCACAGGCTGGGGCAGGACCAGAAGTAAGTCACCTACATGGGCACCATCCACCACATAGATCTGGATTATCTGAGCTTCTGGGGTCCTGGGTGTTCATAGCCAGAGACCAGAAACCAAAGGAATCAGAGATAAAAATAACAGAGACATGAAATCAAGCTAAGAGCAGGCCATGCAATCATCAAGTCAGAGATTCATAGAGTCCGATAACTAAAAAAACTTACCTCAGAGAGCATTATGTACCAGCCTTTCATTTTATACGTGAGGAAACTGAGGCCCAAAGAAATTAAAGACCTTTACAAGATCACGTGACTAATTAGTAACTACTTAGCTGAGGCCAGAACTCAGGTATCCTGGCTCCTACTTTGGTGGTCAGTACACCATCGTGCTACCTCCATAGACAGTCCCTGGGCTGTGGGTTGGAGTGAATGAACCAGGGGTGGCTGTAGGTCCAGAGAAGTCAAGGCAGAGAAGGTCATCACAGGGATGTCATTCAGATAACATGGAAAGGTGGGAGAGGCTATGAGCAGAGGTAGTTAAGAAGGGCAGAGATGCTAGGCCTGACAAGGAAGTCTGTCAGCCACCAGGCAGTCTCTGAGCTCTGGGGGAGAGGCAAGGCCTTGCTATGAGCAGCCAATGGACTGGGAAAACCTGGAACCAGCATACTTCTTATCCAGTTCTGCTCTCAGTTCACTCAATGTCATTGTGGTTCAACTTCCTGATCTATCACATGAAAGAGTTGTTGTACGGATCCAAGGAAATAATTCATGTGCAAAGGTTTTGAAAAGTTGAAGAACAAGATAAAGGAAATCTGCACCAAGCTCTTAAGAAATGGAAACATACTTTGTGAGGGTGAAAAGGGTAACTATTGCATTGTTCTGTACACCTGAAACTAACAATAAAAAAAAAAAAAAGAAATGGAAACAAGGGTGCACAGTCCCAGTTGTGCTTCATGGGGTTTATAGTGTAAGGAGGAAGCAGGACAGGCAGATAAGTTATTGACAAATAAGACCATTCTAGTTACTTAGCTAAGGTATCCATGAGTTAAAAAAAAAAAAAAAAGGCAGGCGTAGGATTAGTGGTTTGGAGCCTGGAATGTAATCAAGGATGACTCCCTGTAGGAAGGGGCCTATACATTCCATATAAAGAGAGAGAAGAGGCATATCTGTGACATACAATGGGCAGAAAGAAGGAGCTTGCCCTGAATTCAGCTTTCATCAGAGCTTGGGAAGGTTTGGGAGGGTGGGGAAGGTTTTTCCCCTAGAGAGCATCTGGGGCTGACCTCCAATGATGTGTGTCTTCTTCAGCCAACGGACAGCTGGCCCAGACCCTGCAGCAGGCTTACCTGCCCACCGTGTCCTACTCCACCTGCTCTAGCACCTCCTACTGGGGCTCCACTGTGAAGAACACCATGGTGTGCGCTGGAGGAGATGGAGTTCGCTCAGGATGTCAGGTGAACACACATAGGAACTGTCAGAAGTCCCACCCCAGGTTCCTCCCCTCCTTGCCTACCACCCCCCACCTTTTCCTCACACCCTATTCCACAGCTACTCACACCCCCAAGTACAGACTCAGCTTTCCACTCTAGCATCTAAATGAGAATGATTCTGTCTAGTAACTTCTCTCAGGATCTCAAAGTTGAAAGGAAACTTAAAATACATCTTGCCTAATGTCCCCACTTCAAAAGTTTGTATGTGGCCCAACATTTGTATGTTGCTATATGTGTGTGTTCTTAAGAATTTGTTCATGACCTAGATTTTTTTATGGATCCAGTGGGGCTGGGCCTGGAGTGGTGGTTGTTATTTTGTATAAGGTAACTCCCCTCCCATCAATCCCAATTTTTTTTGTAGCTCCTCCACCATCACCCTTTTACCCCAGTACTAGTTACAGCAATACATACAGGTGAATGTAATAGTAGAGGAAAATGCACAAAATAGTTTTATGATTTTATATATATATATATATATATATATATATATATATATATATATATATGTATGTATGTATTAGAATCTTCGTCTATTTAGACAAGATCAATCAACATTATACCACCTTACAGATTTTTTAATGCATGGTTTCACAAATGTTCTTAATTATCTAAATGCCAGGTACTGTGCTAAGTGCTAGGGATATAAATGTGAATCAAACAGTGTCTAGGGGAGGCATGGAGAGAGCAGACATATGATAGAGCATTATAATACAATGTGGTTAAGTGTTATAATAAAGATATTCATAGGGTGATATGGGAGCACAAAAGATGGGCACTTACCTCTACCTGTTGGGGTCAGAAAAGACTTGCCTTCCCAGAGAAAGTGGAGTCTGTAGTGAGTCCTGATGATTAAACAGGAGAAAGGGAAAAACATGTTCAGACAGAGGGAACAGCACGAAGAAAGGCATGGGCCAAAAATCTAGGACACACAGAGAATTATAGAGTGTTACCTCCAGCTAGCTAGAACAGAGATCAGCTCACAAGCCTCCAAATCCAGCACCAGCTGCCTGCTTTTTTTTGGCCTATGAGCTAAGACTGGTTTTTACATTTTTAAATGGTTGGGGAAAAATAACAGAACAATATGTCATGACATATTAAAAAATATAAAATTTCAATGTTCATTAAAAAAACCCACATTTTATTGGAACACAGCCATAGTTGATCATTACATATTGTTTTTCCTGCTTTTGCTAAGTTGGGTAGTTGTAAGAGAGACTGTACATCCTGCAAAGTGTAAGATATTTGCTATTTGGCTCTTGACATAAAAAGTTTGCTGACCCCTTGGCTAGAACATAAACTATTACCACACTAGGGAATGTCAGGAGGTGACACCAGGGGCAAGTAGAAAGAGAAAAGATCAGTGAGTTGAGAGAAGAACTATAATAACATAAATACCTGAGTACTTCAGGGATAGGTGGAGGACAAAGAACCCATAAAGATCTAAGAGGGATTACAGGCAAGAGAAAAATGTAGTAATAAGGGTTTTACAAAATCTCAGGAAGTACTGATAGGTCATCACATAGTAAACAGTGCAGCCAGGAGCCAAGGTAGATAAAGGGACTACTTTGGCGATAGGTGAGTCACTGGGAACTATGGCAAGAACAGTTTCAGTGGAGTGGTGAGGGCTCAAGCTTGACGGAGGATAAGGAATGAAAAGGCAATAAAAAAACATAGCAAGGAATGCAGACTACTCTTCCAAGAATCTTGGATGAAAGAGAGGAACAACAACAAAAAGTCTGGTAGCTTTAAGAGTCAAGGAGAGAGTGGACCTTTTAAGAGGGAGGAAAACTGAATGTGTGAAATAGGCGGAGGAAAGGATCCCACAGAATGAAAGAGAGGGAATAACTGGATGGCACAAGATCCCAGCGGAGACGGAAAAGATGGAACCAAGAGCACAGGTGGAGCTGGCTTTGAACAGGAAGAGGGACACCAAAATGTGCATGAACATGAAAGAATGTGCATGTTGGGCATTTGGATGTTAACAGGTGTTCTGCATTATTGCTTCTATTTACTCATGAATTAGAAGTCAGGTTGGATGCTGAAAGTGAAGAGGCAAGAGTTATTTGGGACTGGATTAATTAAAGTGAGTGGGAAAAGGACTGGCCTCCAAAATGTTACTGATAGGTTGAGGTTAGAGACCACGCAATAACCATGTGGGTATATGATTCACTCCATTTTACTCAAAGACCCATGTGTAGGGAATGGATTAATCCAGGACTGGGTTTTCCTGCATTAATGGGCAAAAGGATAGGATTGCAGATCAAACGCGAGATCCAAGCCAGAGGGAAGAAGAAGAGAAGCCAGCAGGAGGCTGGAAGGCTGGCTGTAATAGAATCAGATTTTTTTTGTGAGCCTGTAGAACTATGGAAGTAAGCTGACCAACTCATCCCAGTTTTCCCAGGGCTTTCCCAGTATAAAACTTAAGATTCCTGTATCCTGGGTTCCCTACATGCCAAACAAAAAAGGATCTGATGCATAAGACAACCTCTTCCAGGTCCTTGCCAGCCAGCTTCACCTATAAGCACTTAATACTTAATCTTTCTGCGTTAATTCACTTCCCTCTGCTCTCTCTCAGGGCCTTGAATACTGAAAACTGGAGTACTTTTCTTCTGCCTGCCACTCCAAATTGACAACGCTCTGAGACAATTGTGTCTCTGAGTCCCTTCCCACTGGAGTTTCCCAAATAGTGTGTCTTCTGGGTTTTCAGACTTCTGGGTCCCCAACCCTTTTCCTCAGGGTGGACTCACTGAGCCCCTCTCACCTCAATCCACCCACGCCTACGGAGCTCTTTTTCAGTTCTTCCTTCCGTCCTAAAATCCTCAGCCAGGCCCTCCAACTCCCCAGAGCCACAGGGTTTTTTTTTCCGGTCAATTAGCATAAGACAATAGTATTACGTATGATTCAATTATCTTGCTGTCCTCTAGCCCAGAAATACTCTCAAATCCCTATTAGAATTTGAGTGGAAGAGATGTAGGTTGTTTTGTTTGTTTTTAATACAATCATCTAAAAAAACCCATCTTTTCCTAAGCAGTAGTTGGGGTGGGGTACAGCAAGTTCCTTTTTAAAAGAAGTATCCCCAGTTTGAAATTTTAGTCTCTTTCTCTAGTTCTTTTTTTAGTTTTAATTCTTATTGAAGCTATAGGCCTGAAATTGCTTTAGGTGGCAAAGAAAACTATGAAGCTTAATAATGGAAAAGAACAGTCATTAGTGCCTTCTACCTCTTGAGTTCTCCCCAGAAGGGACCACTTTCAACTCTTTTCAAATGATGCTTTTGGTTTCTGCCTTCATACTTTTGTTATGTTGCTACTTAACTTTTCAGTTCAGGCATTATGAAAGATGTAGAGCTCTCTTCCTTTTACACATACATACTTGCCCCCTAAGCATGGACTTTCCCTATCACCAGCTCAACCTCCCTCGATTAGATTAACATTTAGTGTTTATTGTGATTATGTAAAATGCTATTCAAAACCAAACCATGTATTCTACGATTAATTTTCATTTCCTGCCTAACTTTGCTTTCCCTGGAAAATACTAATAGTCTTTTTTATTTGCATAATATATACTCATCATGAAGGATACTTACTAGGTGTTTTTTTTCATTCTGGGAACTCCAAAGCTTTGTTTCTGAAAATGTTTATTTGTTGATGCTCTCCTCCCCTCCATTTTAATTTCTCTTTCTAGAATTTGTTATTCACATATTTACCTCCTAAATTGGTCCTCTTGTTATTTTCTCTATATTTTGTTCTACTTTATCTTCCAGCCTTTCCAGTCTTTCATTTCTATGATCATATTCATAATTTCCAAAGGCTCTTTCTGTTTTCTGAATGTTCTGTTTACTAGCATGCTGTTCTTGTACCATGGATGCAATATTAATCATAATTTTTTGTTTGTTTTCTTCTCCCTGCATATCTTGGCTGCCTTCATTTTTTGTTTGTTTGTTTATTTGTCTCTTTGTTTAGATCTTTATTTTTATATTAGAGGCTTTCTTCAAATGTTTGGTAATCCTTGACCATCTGTTCTTATCTCAGAGGGGAATGGTAAAAAGCTCATAGGTAGTTCTGAGCCGATTCATCTATAGTGAACTGATTTATCAGGTGATCTGTCTAGGCCCTTTCACTGGGGGACCTCCAATGTCAGTATCTTTAGGTCTTCCCTCTTGTATTGGTCAGATCTCCAGAGAAATATCTTCCAATTTTATGTCTGGAATTATAGAACTGGCATTCTGAGAACTGGGTAAGAAGAGTGTCCAGATTATATTCTCTAAACCCAGGTTCCTCTGATTCTAACGTAACTACTACCCAATTCATCACCTCTCCACTTCACCCCAGTTTAGTTAATATGTGTTCACTACCTGCCCTGTGTCTAAATGCTAAGTCTAATTAGACCAATTGGTCTAAATTCTGGGAATAAAGAAATCATTAGAACACCCTTTTCTCCCATCCAAGGTTCAATTTAAGTCAGTAAAAGCTATTAAGCTTAATATGTTCAAAGTTCTGTGCTACCATGGTGGAAAGGAAAAATATCAGCAAGACATAGTTCCTGTCTCAAGTTCATAGATATGCGTGGGAGGTAGAAACAAATTATGAAACCAAAATACAGGGCAGAACATAACATACATACTGCAAAAGAAAAGAAGAAGTACCGTGGTTGTTTAGAAAGAAAGAAAAGATTCATGAAGAAATTGGTGAAGAAATTATGAAGAAAGTGGTGATTTGAATTGGAATTTTAAAACTGCACAGGATTTTACAACAGAGATGGGGGGAGGGGCATGGTATACGCAAAAGCAAAGGACCAAAGATCAAAATATCTGGAATTTTAGGACTCTGCTTTTCCTCCCTGCAGGGCGATTCTGGGGGTCCCCTCAACTGCATGGTGAATGGCCAGTACGCTGTCCATGGAGTGACCAGCTTTGTGTCCAGCCAGGGTTGTAATGTCTCCAGGAAGCCCACAGTCTTCACCCGGGTATCTGCTTACATCTCTTGGATGAATAATGTGAGTCCTCTCAAATGACGGGTTGATATAGAGTCACCTGGAGACCCATACACTGGCTGGGTTGGGGAGCAAAAGTGGGGCAGGGGAAGCCATCTTCCTCACCACATTCATACGTTTTACTCCTTTCTCTTCCCTTCGTAGGGTACTTTCCCTCAATAATGCTGCCATCCTGAGTTCCCCTTCACATACTCACAAAGCAGCCTTCACCATATTGTTTATGGCTTAGGGTAGGATGGTGGTAACAACAGATCTGAACCAGGCACACGTCAGTGCTGTCCTAGCCTAGGGCAAAACAGCTTCAGAAGGCCTGCATGCTCCTGGGCAAGGGAAGAGGCATCTCTCCCACAAGCTCTTTCTAAGGGATAATGAGAATTTTTTCTGCCCTTTGGAAAGAGGTTTTACCACTGTAAACAATGCTTAAGGGTTAGGTGAGACTCTACTACACTAACGTAGTGGGAGAGCCTTCCACCTATGCCCTCCAGCCTTCAAACATATTCTGGAGTCTTGTGGCATGAACCTTGACTCACAACTGTTTCAAAGTCTGTCCTTGCTACTGAGTTCTGGGTCTATGCCTATAACATTGAACTGTTCTGACATAGCTGAGACCTACTTCTTGCCCCCCACCCTCTTAACTTCCCATAAACCCAGTACAGGGCCCAGTACTCAACCAGGAGCCCTGAGGAAAAATGAAAGGAGATGGGCAGAAGTAATTGACTGTGGATATAATTGGCTTTTCCTTCAGGTCATTGCCAACAACTGAACATTTTCCTGAGTACAACGGCCATTCCAAGATGATCTTCAATCCACAGCAGGACTTGAGGCCATCAAGGAAAAAACATTCTAGGAGACTATTGAGCCAGACATAGAAAAGCAAATAAAACTGCATACACATTGTCATCCTGAGTCTTTTTATGTGTTATTAAGCCCTCTAGAAGAAGTACAGTTATGAGACCCAAGTTGGATCTCACCACACATCTGGGCTGGTTCTGCCATTTGCTGCCACCTCTACTAGTTCACAAACTAAGCCAAGTGGTAGTGGTTTTATGTTATCCTTTTTGGATTATTTTAGGATCTATCTATCCATTAATCAGCCCATTTGCCCCTCCTCCTATGCATTATTTGCTACACTCAAAGGCACAGAGTGCTTTTAAATATTCCTGAGTGACTGAATGTGCCCTGACGCTCCCAGGTACACTGTGGGCTCCTCCATCTTTTGTTTCCCCTTTCAGTCCCTAGAACAAGGGCTCACCCCAAGGTTCTGGGTGATGACAACTTCATATTAGGATACACTAGAGATAGGAGTATAGGATTAGGTGGTAGGCCAGATGCCAGCAGACAAAAAAAGCGACAAATTAGAAAGGAGACTAGGAAGGACCGAATAGAAAAAAGGAGAAAAGAAGATATTAAATAAAGAAAAGAAAGGATTGAGGGGAAGGAGCAGAACAAAAAGGGAGAGGAGACAACAATATGGGGCCTCAAAATAAGTATGAGCCAGCACTTCAAGGCTGGGGCTAAAATAGGCAACCGGATCCGGAGTTCTCTAAACCACAGAGAACTGGGAAGCTGATAATTTGCCCTATCCTGGCCAGGGCTCAGTCTGTTAGAGTGGCCTATGATAAAGTGAAGGGGGAACTGAGAGGAGAAGGCTAAGAGAATGAGAAGCAGCTTTCCAGAGCAGTCACTGAGGACCAGACAAGAGGGACGTGGGTAGCTATTACAGCAGGAGCAACCGACTAAGACTGGTCCTGGAATTTGTAGGCTGCTATGTTAGCAGAAGCCTCTAGAACAATGTGTACACTATAAGAGGCTGGGCTGGAGTCAGGATGCCTGTATTCCCAATCTCAGTTCTACAACTGAGGAATGGGTACTGTTGGGCAAGTCATCAGCCCTTTCTGTGACTCAGTTTCCCTATTTAGTTAACTTCTAAGTCTAAAAATTGTTTCTGCTCTAACGATACATGATTTGGTGATCATCAATTTCAGTTCCCAAGAGATTGGCACTGAAGAGAGTTTCTTACTTCTTAGGAGGCAATGTTTGAGCTGCATGGCTGAGGACGCTGTGAATTCCTGAGAGTGACACAGGTCACTCCTGCTAGTGATACACTTGTTATCACTATCTTCTCTTAGTTTTCCACACAGTACCACCATTCATGGGGCTTCTCCCCATTCAACTTCATTTCCATTTTCTTCACTCTGCCCCTTCTAGACCATCCCCACAGCTAACTTTCAGAATAAACCTTATTGGCCTATTACCTGAAAGTGTTGTATCTTTCCCTGTAAATTAATAACATGTATAACATAACATTATAATCATCTGCTTACCAACCTTTCTCCACCTACGGACATTCAGCATCTGAGGTCAGGAATCACATTTTTGAAAATTCATCCTTGGCTTCCCAACACTCAGGAATGCATATCACATGGTTGACCCTGAGTGCAGTATGTCTATTTAGGGGAATGACCTGGGAAACAATAGCAGACAAGGGTCTTTAATTTTGTCTCAGGTCTCCAGCTTCCCTCTCCACTCCTTAGGAAGTATATTTTGACCCTCTTCCCTTCCTTAAGGGAATTCTACATGCATTGTAAAATCCTTGAGTAAATGGTTTCTTCAAACCTAGTGTCCTATTTTCCAGCTATGTCCTCAAACAAATCAGGGAGGAGCTTCCATTTGGAGACCTTCTACCTAGAGAAGCAACAGCTGTAATCTCAGCAGTTCCACCCCAGTCTGTCTTCACATCCTGCCTCCTTCTAGTACATCATACTAGTTTATCCAGCTAGAAACATTTGCTCCCCATCCCCAGCACAGGCTCTGTACTCTTCTGTGTTTTTCAATCAGATCCTCTGCTGTCCTGAGGACTCCCATTTCTACCTCTAAGACCTCAGTTGTTCCTCCCTTTCAAATCCACGTCTGGAGTCCTGTCCCACTTCTGCATTCTATCTTGACCAGTTCTAGGCTTAGAGCCAACCTCTCTGATAGAGGCTCTCTATCTTTAAAAATTGCAACCCGGGGCCAGCCGAGTGGCGCGATGATTAAGAACTGGCTTGGGACGCCAGAGGACCCCGGTTCGGATCCCACATATGAGGGCCAGTTATATTGCCCTCCACAGCTAAGATGCTGAACAACAGCTCACCCTGAGTCGCTGGCGACGACGTAGGCTGCAGCCCCTGCTGCAGTGGGTTTCCATGGGCTACCATATGTAGCCAGCAGCCAACGTGAGGGGCCAGCAGCCACCGTGAGCAGCCGTCCAGAAGCCGGCGACTGATCTGCCTCGCCCGGGAAGAGCGCCATGATGGTTCCAACTTGGGCCAGTGAAGCAACGTCCTCCACAACTAGACTGAAGAACAAAAGGACAGCAACTTGTCTGTTCCCCTTCCCCTGATACCCCAGTGCTGTTCCCATCCCCCCAATTCCCCAATAAAAATTAAAAAAAAAAATTGCAACCCAAACTAAGTACTTGGCAACTCAGTATGCATACCCATATAAGTGAAACGCGTTCTCCCATACAATAAATACTCTTGCTGAGTGGAAATCACAATATTTTCTACCCAATTGCTTCAGTTATTTTCCAGTACTGATCATTATAGCTAACTGGCCTTTGAAAACGAATGAATCTTGGCCCTCCTTTGAAAACCCTGTTCAATGGGGCAGGTATTCCTATGCCTTAGAGCTAAACCCTGCCTGGCCTCTGGGTGTTGCCTAAGCTGATGTAAGTAGTAGCCCGTTACTGCTTCCTGTACAGTCCCTATGGCATTGGCGAGTACTGCCCCAGGGCGTTGGGGGAGCATCTCTTTTTCGATTGTGTCCTTGGCTAGCTCTTGGTGGTCCTACTCCAGCACTAGCATTTAGGAAGGCTGTCTGTCTATAACTTGCCTACCTGTGTTGATTGGGAGGACACTTCTCAACTCATTTTAATGGCATTTCTTGTTTCTGCCTAGCCAGAGAACTTTGAAGTTGGTCTTGAATGAGCATCGCCTGAGGGCAGGCCCTGACCCTATTCTAAACTCCAGAAGTCTCCACTTGGCCCCTCACTGGCTACTCTGGGCCGCACCCCCAAGCTGGACCATGATGGACAGGGGGAGGGCCTCAAGAGTCAGCGCTGGCTGGGCTCCAGCGGGCCTCCTAGTGGACCTTGCGGCGGGTCTCAGGGTGGCCGCTGGATGAGCCCAGGCTCACTGCACTGGGATTAGGGGTGGTTTCAGAGTGGTCTTGGGGCGGCCTCGGGGTGGTCCTGAGGCAGCCACAGGGTCGCCTTGCAGGGCCAGCAGGGGCAGGGGAAGTGGGAGGCCCGCCCACCAGGGCCGGATGTGAGGCATGCCGGGAAGCCGCACTTCCTCCTGAGGGGCCTCCAGAAAACCGCAGAGCTCAGGGCCAGGGCAGGCCATCCCCGGGGAGTCGGCAGGATGGCTGAGGGCAAGGCGGGCGGCGCTGCCGGCCTCTTTGCCAAGCAGATGCAAAAGAAGTTCAGCAGGGCCCAGGAGAAGGTAGGCACCGGCCTCCCTACCTGCCCGTCCCCGCCGCTGGCGAGGAGCCGCGGCCCGAGGCCCGAGGCGTTGAGAGGGGCAGGCAGGGTGCCCAGGAGGACTGGACTGAAGAGATGGGTCTCCCGCTTCCCCAGGCGAATGGGAGGTGGGGAGTGGGTGTCCGTGAAACCAGGCAGACTTGAAAGAGACAGAGAACATGGCCCCATCTTGGGCAAGGATGGGGGAAGCTGAGGAGACAAGCAGTCTCAGGAACCTTAACGCTCGGACTGACCCAGAAAGAGTGAAGGAAAGGAGCTCACGCTGGCAACTGCTATGTAGCAGTTCTAGCAACCCAGCAAGGATGCCATTTTACAGATGATGAAACTGAGGGTTCAAAGAGGGCAGTTTCCCTAAGTCGTAAGGCAGCAGTGACCAGCCGTGCTGCTGGTAAGTGCCACCAGCTGGACCAGAGCCATTCTGCATGATTGTCCCTAACCCTGCCTGGCCTCTGGGTGTTGCCTAAGCTGATGTAAGTGGTAGCCCATTACTGCTTCCTGTACAGTCCCTATGGCATTGGCGAGTACTGCCCCAGGGCGTTGGAGGAGCATCTCTTTTTCGATTGTGTCCTTGGCTAGCTCTTGGTGGTCCTACTTCAGCACTAGCATTTAGGAAGGCTGTCTGTCTATAACTTGCCTACCTGTGTTGATTGGGAGGACACTTCTCTACGCATTTTAATGGCATTTCTTGTTTCTGCCTAGCCAGAGTATTTTCTTTGCTTCTAACCTGAACCTCTGCTCTCCACCTGTCAACACTCTGGTAGATATGATGGTATGGGAATAAGAATAAGCCAGAAGAAAAAGGGAAGGGAGAGACAAGAAGGATCTGACATAGAATGGTGGTTTTCTACGAGTTGGTCTTAGAAGCATTTGGAGGAATACCACATGCTTAAGAACTGAAATATCCGCGTCATTTTCTAAAAGCGGAGCACTGGCTTGAGTCCTGGAAAGGTTAAAGGCAACCAGCTCTCCCAAGTGGGATTATCAACAATCAACAGAGAATTGATGGAATGTAGATATAGCCCCTATCTTTAAGAGGCTCACAATGGAAGGGAGAGGGGGAAAAAAAAAAAAAAGGAAGCCGGGTCATGTGAAAGAACTGAGGAAAAGGGAAAGATTTTGTGTGGCTAGCCTTTGTTGCTTCACCTCACTCTAACTTCACTGCGATCATGGTTTCAGCCTCTCCAAAGGCTGTCTGTCTTGTTACAGATCTGATAGATGCCAGAGTCTATGGGAAAGTCTAGTTAGAAGCAGTGTGGAGAAACAGGAGGCACTAGAGAAGAGGGGAAGGCTAGCAATACTATGGGTTGGAAAAACAAAAGGAAAACCCAAAAGACAGAAAACTTATGGTAGTTATTTTTAAAACACACAGCAATT